CAATACTAACTCTTATAAATAACAAATCCTAATTTAAACACATAACATACACAGTAATAAAGCCTTTTCTTTCCTTAAGTCAAGTACACAAATATATCCCTATAAATTACTTGGTACCTAAAAGTATCAAGTATAAGTTTTTAAGTATTTTAATAAGTACTAAGATTAAAAAAACTATATCTAAATATTTTAAAATCAAATGTTAAATATAACTCATACCATACTTATACTGCTGTATCTAAAAATACTCATCCCTAGGGCTGAATGCTCCAATTATTGAAGAGTCCAATTGAGAGTCCAACACGGGAACAGAAGGCTTACTCTTGATGAAACAATAAAGTTGGGCCAGGCCCAGTCTGGCTGGGCAGAGGAAGGTATCGCGAGGAGTGATCTTGTTGGCGCGGTGGTATTCGACACCAGGGCCGCTCAATTCCTTTGTTTTCTTTGATTCTTCCTGTGATTCGTCGAGCTGTGCCTTGAGTTCTAGGATGGAGGAGGCACCCACCCCATCCATAGCGCGGTCCTTCTTGGGCGCAAAACTTGAAGATTCCACTATCATCTCTGAAACTATTGAAACTCTCCGCAAATGAAAGGTTAAATCACAATTATATAGAGTAGTTTGTTTCCTATTGGATATATTAATTACAGAAAAAAACAATAAAAAAAAAAAAAGTTAGAAAGTACCTTGAGGTACATTATAGCCATACTGTCTTAAGAGTATGAACTTAAGAGCTGTAGCATATGAACTATCGTTCTTGAGCCCACAATTGCAATGACTATTACCATACACGTACACCCTCCAAAATTGTCTTTATTTCAATCTTCAAAATGGTATGATAATCCAAGCCTTTGCAGGGCGTCAATAAGCTCAAGTTGATGCAAAGGATCATTGTCTATATACTCGCCTAGCATCAATCTTACATCTTCCTTTAACTTGTTTCTGCGTATAGTGTATGATTCTCCCTGCATTAAAGGTAAGATTTCTATTCAAATATAAAACCAGTCTGCATAACTAGTTGTAGTTGTTCAACCTAGGAAGAACTTGTTTATGGTAGTACCACATATTGCGTTCTGAGTGATTGAATGTAATCATATCCCCAGATGGTAGGGTGGAAATTTGATGTTCTTCTAATAATAATTTGATTGTTGGGGGCAACCATGGATCGGACTGGACAAAGAACAAAATGCCGGCTGAATGATGGAGGCGGAGGTTGTCTGGTAGAAATGGCTAAAGGGAAAGCAGCATGGAAGAAAGTGGGAGGAACACTTAGTAGAGAGGTTGAGAGAGGCCGAATGTCCTATGCCTAACTGCAATGGACAAATTACAAGTATAACACCCAGCTACTGCTTCTTTGCGTCCAATGCAAAAGATTTTATCGTTAGAACAGGCAAGAAGAGTTCAAGAAACATTTCTATTGCGTGGTTCATCAACCAAGCATCATGCAGATAACAAAGGAAATACGGATGGACTATACAGTTTCCAAAAAAAACGAAAGGGGAAGAAAACAGCTGCATCTATGCTAAGAGATTTGGAATGATAGAGTCCTCTGAGTAAGAGTCTAAGACCCTATGTAGACATTATGAATCAAATGTTCGCCCAACTATAATTAGACTGGCAAGGACTGAATAAGTGAGTGAGTTCATTATTTCAGTGTTGAATTTATGAACATAAAATGAGGACTTAATTGAAATAAAGTGGAAACATATTTAGTTTTGATTTCTATTAAAAGTTGAAGGGTTTGTAGTCTTGTAGAGCTTTTTAACGATTAAATTAACAATCAGAGAAATTTTTTCCCCTCAAAAAGTACTAGGGATAAATAAGCAATAAGAATAAAACTTAATTATCTGAAATAAAATAAATAACTCTCCTGACTGAATTTTAAATCTATCACTAAATAAAAGAATATGAATTAAAAAAAGTAAGATAAATTATTTTTTAAAATTCTTGATCAAAATAAATAATTTATTATATAATTGTAACATTATCATAAGTCAAAAATTTATTTTTATTTAAATATGTTTTTAACTTATTTTTTAATTGTGATATTATCATAAGTCAAAATTTTATTTTTATCTAATCTATCTTTTAAAAAAATTAATTTATTATGTTATCACATCTTAAATAATAAAAAATTTAAATTTAATCGATAATTCGAAAAAGACAATTTACTTTTGTTTTTTTTTTTTTTAATCACAGATCTATCCTTTATTTAAGGTTGATTTTGAGGTTTGTCCTAACTTTCTACAATGGAGTTCATGTCTAAGTGGGATCCACAAGTGCACAAATCTCAGAACTAAGTTAACTTACTACACAAAATTGAATATAAATAAATAAAGTCTAATAATACCTCTATTATTATTAAAATTTAAGTAATATCCAAACAAATACTTTGAAGTCAAATTATGTAATAATTGTAAATTAGATCCTCTAACTTTCTAATAAGATCAAAAGAACTAAAAAGTCTCAACTAAGTTCAAATTGACTCTAATAAATATTCATTAAGGCCCTGATCCCCAACGTCTTTAATATCGTTACTTGAAATAGTAGATAAGTAAAAATGTGAGATATAATCTTAGAAATGAATATTAGGTTTCCTTTTTTAATTTATAAATTTTAAATTTAAGCATGCCAACAAGTGTAAATCAAGTATTAAGAAAATCACTACAAGTACAAGAAATGAAATAGATGTCTCCTCTATAAGTCATGGTTAGCATTTATAAACCTCCCACTAGTCGGCACAAGATTGCTAGTGTATAATTTCACAAGTAAATAATAAGTATAACAAGAATGAACTAATTTCACAAGTAACATGATATGTGCTAGCGTTAATAAACCTCCCATGAATAAACCTCCCATGAATAAACCTCCCATGAGCAAACACAAGTAAAACATGACTATATTAGAGACTAAAACAGGCTAGCAACTACAATTCAAGTAAGCATGCTTATTTCAAGAAAACATGTATCATCACAGGAATCAAGCGAACTTTTTATAAATACACTTGCTTAACCAATTAAAATCCAACTTAAATTACAATGAGATTCACTCATGGTAACTAAACCAAAATGGGTTCTTAATTCCACTACCATCTCAAACTCAAAAAAAAAAAAATCATGTTGTAAAATTATGTTTTAAAATCAAGGGTAAAACCATAAATTCACTTACCTCACTTTGTGGAGAATCAAGATTTCACAAGAACTAGGAGTTGTAGAATTGAGTCCAAGATTTCAAAATTGGACACCAAATAGGAAAGGATTTGATAGCAAGTTCTGGTCAGGTTATGAACCAGAGATTGCAACTAAATTCATGCCTTGAAATCAATGGAATTGGGTGGAATGATCAAAAGATGAATTGTAGCTTTATCTCTCAGCTTTCCATAGCTTCAAAAATCACCTCAATTTCCCCAGGGCCACCTTTCCCCACAACACACTTTCCGGATGCGTTCGACTCTAGAACATGTTGGCAGAAGCTTCTAGTTCCAACCCATTTTCCACAGCCTATTGCAAGAGGCTGTAAGCTACAGCAGCCATTGTGGAAATTTACAATGGTTATTTCAACCATTGTACATGAACCTCATTTAATGAGGTAGAAAATTTGCACCGGGGTAGTTGGGTTTTTTACCCTATAAATACCCATGCAATGGCAAGGC